AAGAATCCAGATTTTTAGATTAAACGGAAAAAAGATTACAGGAAAGTGGATAGGCAGAGTACACAAATGCAAAATCCTTTGCTGTCATTGCCTTCTTAAGTAAAAGAAAAAATGGCAATGAGAGCTCAAGTGAATTGTACTTGTGTTAAGAGCTTGGAATATAGTGAGGTTTAATAATTTGAGAAAAAAATACATATTGCGGAAATTTATTGTTTATTAAACGTAAATGAGCTGTTACAAATCTTAAACTGTTAACATAGAAGTGACACCCAGTTTTTTTTTTTAAGACATTAAATAATCCGATATTGTAATTAGGCCTATTGATTTAGCAGGAATGATTTGTTTACTTTGAGCTCTGTATTAACCAAAAAGTCCTAGGCATCTCAGAAATAATTATAAACCAACCTTACACTAGAGAAAATAAAATACAATTGTCGGTGTCAATTTTAGTCAAATTGGAATTAAATATAGATTGAGTGACCCCTCATATATAATTAAGAATATAATTTGCGCATTCACAATCACACCAATTAGTTTTATATATTAAAAAAAAAAATTTTTTATAGAATATCTTTGTTCAGGGGAAATAGATTTAGTTTTGAGGATATTCGTTGATAGAAGGAAAATCATTATTCAATAGGAACTGCATAAACATAAAGATAAGTAGAAAATAATATGAAAGCACATATCAACTAAGAAATTGTGTAAAAGTATTAACAAAAATAAACATATAAAAAAAAACAAAAATCACGTAAATAAATTCTAAATATTATTTTCAAAAAATGTTTCATTTGGAAAAGCTATTATCCAGTTACCTTGTCATATCTGAAATGCCTAGAACAATTACAAATCCACTGCAACACAACTTTCTGTGATTGCAAAAAAAAAAAAAAAATTCAAGTACAATTAAATTCATGATGCAAAATGAAAACAATGCTTTAGTATTGAAGTGATATGCAATAAATAAAAGAAAAATACTAATTAGTAGCTTATAATGTAATAGTATTATAATAGCGCATTACATTAATTTATGGAGAATAGATCATGCAGTCAGGTAAATTTAGGTAACTACAACATGGGTCAACTAGGATTTGTAAAAAGGTGTCGGTCTACTTTTTCTAAGTACCAGTAGTAACATAACTAGAACCACCAACTATTCTATGCCATCCCATGAGCATCACAGCTTATGCAAATATATTATGAGCAAAAATTTTGACTGTTCAGAACTAGGAATTTGGAAAAACGAAGAAAACATCTGAATTAAATACATTAAATTTTATTATAAATTATTTTATAAGTTCATCGGCTGTTGAATCGAAACGAAATTTTAATCACATTTTCAATTACACTTCTAAAAGCGGAATGAAAATTAAAACTAATTAAACTACAACTGGCATAATATAGTCATAAATTAAATAAATGAAAATAAATAATAATTGTGTCGCTAAAAATTGGAGCAAAGTATGACGAATGAATAATGCAATATTTATGAAGCGATTCTAATGTAACTTTTCAGTTTGATATTTGTAATAGCGTGCTTGTATCCAATGTACTTCACTACTTAGTACTTCACTGAGAAAGCGCTACTGCTTGTTTTCAATATTCACCTTACATCTTGACATTCCGTAAAGCGCTTTTATCGCGAGATGAATAAAATTTATGCTTTAGAGTTCGCCGGGATACAAAAGTTGATATACTTCACTCTGCAAATCCATGACGTTATTATGAAAATAAATAAAAAGACAAGTATTATAAAAAGAAAGTAAAGAAAGAAAAACGAAGTTTAAAATGATGAATAATTTTGCATTAAAGCCAGTTTTATAACACATTTTAAGTATGTTTGGTTATTAAATTACAAGATNATTTATAAAAATATATAAATATAAAATAATAAGAATACTTGAACAATGAACCAATTTTAGATGTATGTGTTTCTTTTGTAATTAATTAGCTCAAAATAAAAATAGATTTGGTCAGGCTAGGAATACAAACAAAATAATTGGCTATGATCTAGTGAAGTATTAACATGAAGTGTGTTTGGTAAAAATAAAAGCTTTTTAACACCCCAAACTTTGCTGTTGAACTTCATTTTCAATTGTAAAACAAAATAATATTAAAATTAAAATGAATGACAATTTGACCTAGATCGAAACAACAAACTTTTCTTCAAAATGATGTTATTCGCCTAAAGTCTAACGTGTCGAGACCCGACTTAAGATATGTAGTTCATGCTGTTTTATATCTCATAGCTATTGATTACAGATGGCTAAATTGTACAAATTCGCATAGCAGGTATGTGCATTTTGTGAAAACTGCAATTACTTTTTTTTTTTTTTTTTAAATCAAATTTAAACAGTTTGTATGAAAGCTTTTTCAAACTACAAGACAACAAAGCTCACATATTAAACTCAAGCACACTATGGCCAATGTTAATACATGACTATAACATAAAAAGAAATATTAGTGCTCTAAACAAATTAATAAAAAGGAAAAACATAAAAGTTCAAACAAATGAAAGATAAATAGTAAATTAACATATTCCAGCGGAATTACAAAATAAAAGATAAAATGAACAAATATTATGGCTGACAATGCTGTTAGTCTCAATAAAAATACAATTTAACCATTTCATAAAGTTTACATTTTTTCCCATGCATATATAATTTAATATACCTTAAATGCATACTGTTTTTATGTTTATGTTTTTCAACATATATTGTTGTGAGATAAAAAGCGCCTTCTTCTCAATATATAATATAATATATTTACCAAAAAGTTATTAGTACAATTACAAGTCCATTCTAACAAATCTGAACAAAATTCGCAAATTTATCAGACACTCTACCCTAATAAGATTGGAAACCAAACTAACAAAACGGTCGACTTAAAAAAAAGCTAAACAGCTTACAAATTGAGCTTGTAATAAGGATAAACTAAAACTAACACAGAGATTAATAATTCAAAATCTGACGACGTGAATGATTTTACAAAGTCAAAATTAAAAATGGTACAAATTTATTAAAAGAAGATGCTGGGAAACTACTGAGATCTAATATTTATAAAGGGCAAAAATTTTACGTACAGGCAACATAAAAGAAAAATTGACAGAATTGCTAAAATTGTAAATGTAAAGATCTCTGTAATAAATAATAATAAGTAATAGAAAAGAAGCATTAATAATAAAATAACACATGATAATAGTAAAAAAAAATAAATAATTGAATAAATCTCCATGAGCATGTTTTTTACTACTACTATTTTGACTAATAAACCCATTCCCCTAGGAAGTCCATCAGACAACTTATCTCAATAAATTTACAATTCATCAGTAGTTTATTTGTAACCATTTGGTCCCTGAAACGTGAATGTTATGTTCTTCGACTATGTGTTTCCCCCAACCTTGAAAATAAATAAAGCTAGTTGTAACAAATGATGTTAGGACGAGAACAGGATGCAGGATGATGCCAGTGTTAGGATTTATTACTTACGGGTCTCTTATTATGAGTCGTGAAGTTAATTATTTTAAACATGAAATGAAAACACTTGTAAATCATTTACAGGACAAAATTTTATCACAATAGTAAATGTGGTTGTAAAATCTTTTAAACATGAAAAATGCAAAATGGTTTTGCCCCTTTGGTAACTTTATCAGGAAAAAATGATAAGATTCTGTACTTCAAGTGATAAAGGGGTGTAAAAATTAAAATGAATAATTGCTTTTAATTGAGAATCATATGCTATTGGATTAAGTTACAAAAAATGTGATTTATGAGCTGGCATAAAGCTTGTTGATGGCAATTTAGTTAATTTAAACATGTACATTCATAATTATTAATATATTTTTTTTAAACGCTTGATAAGAATTGAAATTAGCTTATGAACATTAAGATGAAAGTGTAATTGAATAAATTTATCTACAAGAAAAAGCACATTGAGAAAAATTAAAATTAATAAAAATATAAAAGAAAAGGCATAAAATAAACGACAACAAAAATCGTCAACCGAATTTAGGTAAATTTAACTTTTTATATTTCAATCACACAATATTAATATTGTCCTACATTCCTATTCTTTGTTGTAGTAATAGCAACCGAGTTATAAATGAAATAATTTATTAGCGCCTTTTAAAATATTAATTAAACAATTCACATAATATACCTGCCTACTATCCACCCTGTTCACATATAAAACAAAGTTTTATTAACAATCACCACAAATTATAAAATATAGAACTATAATATATATATACTATAAAAATTTATATGAAATTTTACACCTAGATTATATGAAATATTTTTTAATAGGTTTTTTTGATAATGAAACAATAATTATACATTCCAAAAATATCCCATACATCTTGCAAAATTATTCTCTTAAAACAATATAATAAAAATTATCACCTTTTACCAAAGAAATCTGATAAGTACAAACCTCAAAAATAAGAAAAAAAATATTACCATCCCCTATTTGATGATTTAAGATTAATATTTTTCTTATCGAGTTAGTATTAAAATTAAATAAGCCTTTAAACAATAATAATTTTGTAAGTTTCTTATATGTTTATTATTCAAATAAAAAGTAAAACAAAATGAAAATACTGCTGGTAAAAAACATTGTTCTCCCTAATCTTACATAAAACAAACCAACTGACTGTAAGGTAAGATTAAAATTTAAAAACCTTACAAATTCCAAAATACAAAAAAAAAATTTCAAGCAAAAAAAATAAATAAAAATATAAAAAATAAAAATAAAAAATAAACAAAAACCCTAATATTTTGAAATATTTATGTTAGTCATAAACTGTAAAAATATATATATAAAAGAAAAAACATAAACCAATTTTGAAATATGTGTAAATTTTATATTGAATATTGTGCTTTGGCATGGAAAGGAAGAGGAATCTAGAAGCTTTCAGATTTGACCAGAGTCGCTGAGCCTTCAGCAACATCATTATAATATTCGCCATGGTGTGTTGTGGATGCGCGTGGGGGATCACTCACCTGACTATTAGAAACGGAGTCCGGAATGGGCAGCGGTTTAGCAACGGCTATTCGAACGATCCCTTTGGGCGCACCCTTTAAAGCCTGGACCGCTTGGTCCAGCGAAGCGTTGTCTAGCGCTACCGAATTGACAGACAGAAGGCGATCTCCCGGTATTAACCGGCCGTCCAGTTGAGCAACTCCACCAGGAACCAAAGAACGTATGACAATCACTGTCTCACTGGGGTTCATTGGGTCCTGGAAAAAAAAAAAACAATAACAAAATTATAAAAACATTGGTTAAAAAGAACAAGACTTTTAAACTATATAATGCATCAAATTCACATTCAAACACACACATCTAGAAAAATCAAGATTATTTAAATCCAAAAGTTTTAAATATAACTTAAGCGGTAAATTTCTATTTTTATATATATTTCTTTTTTACTTGGATAATAATTGAGTTGTATTCAGTATTGAATGTGTATACTGGTTTTTTTCTCTTGTAAGCCTTCAAAAACACCAAAGTATTAATGAAATTTAATTATTGCTTTTTGACAATAGAATAAATTTTGCTTGTATTTGCTTCATTAACCTCTAGTTATACAACTAACCCTTAACACCACAGATTATAATGCCTTGGTATTTCAAATTTAATTAATTAAATTTGGTATACTCGGCAGCAACTCACTCTTAAATTCTCAGTGTTTACTCATTTTTCAACATTGTGAAGTGAAAATTTATTTAAATAATGTTAAATACTGTTTACTATATGATTATATATTTAGCAACAACGGAAAGTTAGTAGGAGCAGAGATGAGTACATGACATTGTAGGGTCGCAATTTCTGCTAAATGAGACAGGAATTTTATCAACTGCACGATTCACCTACGTACGGTGAAACTTCCATTAACGAACACCCGTAAAAAGTGGACAGCCTGGAACGGACAAAATCTGATTCCCAGCATCTTCCCATTAGATTCTTCACGTCTTTATGTGGAGAGCTTTTTCAATTTTATTCTGACTCTAAAACTCTCCCAAAAACGGTCAGCAGCCTTCAAAGAAAGAAACGTTTTTTGTGAGACATGCTGTTTCCCCTATGGGTTTTTCTCGCCTTCCAATATTTCTATTTTTTCTTATAGTACGCCATTTTGCAAACAAAGTACTTCTTCAGTGTGTTAGACACTTAAAGAAAAAAAGTAATATAATTAAAGTGAGTGAAAGACAAAGTGTGCAAGGCGTGGGTGATGTTTTTACATCGGAAACATACAGGCGAGTGAAATTTTAACGAATAAAAAGAAACCTTTGGATAAATTTTACAAACACAGAAATGACCATTCCCGCGGATACTCCAAACTCGTCTGGGCGTACCTAAATTGCCTAACAGCTCTAGGGAAAACACAACAAAATTACCTTAAAGTGGTTCCCGGACATGAAGGTATAGAAGGAAATGAGCCAACTAGCCACAAAAAGAGGCAGCCCTCACACCCATGGGTCCAGAACCACAACTAGGTGCTTAAGTTAGAACTGGAAAAATACTTCCATAGAAACGTGCCGAGGAGGTATCAGAAACATTGACACATGTCCTTTGTACATGTGAAGCATCTGCCTGGTTATGGTACAGCCATTTTGGTAAATCAGAAAAGAGGAAAACTTAAACAATGTTGTGCCAATTTTAAACCTAAACAGTTTTTAATAGCAATTTTTTAGAGCACTTCCGGGTAAAACTATGACGTTAAAAAATTAACTTTATCAGAGAGGAAAAGTTTCAAAAGATTGTCCAACATTTCTCTTAAGCAAAAGTATGCTCAATTAATTAAAAAAACCTTCTTTTCATAGAAAAGGCTAAAAATCATCCATGTTTTAAAGTGTCGATCTTGTAATCCCCATTGTGGCCCATCTTGCAATACTAAACATTTTTTTCACTCTTATCCTAAAAGCAGACAATATTTCATTCTTTACAAGTGCCCATTAAAGGGAAGCTTCGCTAAATAAACGTTGGTAGTTTTTTGTTGAAATCGTCACAAATCGCAGCTGCTTGATCGGATTCTCGTATTTGAAGATAGATCGCCAGAATCCTAAAATAAAGTCATTTTAGCAGGGCTAAAAATCTATTCCGTGACTAAATAGATAATGGAAACTTCCTCCAATAAGATGCAAAAATTTTAAAAACGAGCGTCTCCTATGTCATAGGTCTTGTAGATATTTTGAACGTTTAAGTGACAGAGGTCCATCTTTTAACAAATGATGAACATGAATCAGAAAACAGAACATCGAGGAACGTTGTATGCCGCGATGACCTTGAAATATCCCATACATGACTCACGGACATTCTAGTGGTGTTGAGGGTTAATATTATGGTAAATTACATAAATCAATTATATTATTTTAACAGCAAAGTATTGGAATAAATGAAATTGAAATTATGAAACATCAAATGTAAATTAATTAATTGTGCTTCGGCTTAGACAGTCACTTTATTAAAAAAAAAAGATATATTCTTTTCAAATACATAAATTTCATAAATTTGTGTTATTTCTGATAAGATAAATAATATTATTTGATTATTTTAAGAGTATATTTTTTTATGTTTAATGCATTTTGTAAAATCCAAGAAATTAAAGATTTCAAATTAAAAAAAAAATTAAATAATCTAAGGACAAAAGTTTTAGAATGAATTAATGCACATAACCGCTTTTTCAAATAGAACACAATGTTAAAATTTACATAATCAAAATTTATTTTTGCCTTGTCTACAAAATGTCGTAAGTTTTTTCTGGCAAAATCGCCCAGAATAAAGTACCATTTAATCTTACATCCAAAATTTTGTGAAACCTTTTTTTTAAACTTAAATAATACTAGTAATTTAATATTTAAGCTATGTGACATTTTGTTTTAGCAGTTTTATAACGAATAATGAATAAATATAATGAATATCACCCAAGCATTTGGAGCTTTTTTTTAAATAGTTAAAAAATACAAGCTAAGTAGAAGTTTTACTGTTGAATGAAATTATCAAGAAAGCAAACTACATTGCAGCAATAGAAATATAACTAAATATTTAAACCACAATACTTGCACAAACGATTTATTTAGCATTTAATTAAAAAACAAAAACAAAAATCTATAAGTTGAAAGAACTAACAAAAGAACATAATGACCATAATAAGGATGCCAATCATGCTTAGTGGATCATATTAGACGTTGCATTTTATTGACGTATCAGTGACTTAATTGTGCACGAGCCTAAATATAATCAACATATTTTGTAAATATCCATAAAACTCATACTGCAGTATAAATCATGCTTGAAATAATTAACAACATTGCAGCATATAAAAAAGCAAATTCAATCAAGGTTAACAATATTTATAGATTACCTTAATAAAATGATGTCACATCCTTCTATTGGAATTGTTTTACGTAAATGTTTTGATAACTATACAATTAGAAGAATAACTTAGAATTGTACGACAGTTTTACTGCAAAAACTAAATCCACAGTTACAGTCTTAACACTTTTGAACTTGTGCCTTAATAAAACACATACCAACCTATTTTTGACTAATTATTCTTTTACACTATAATAACTTAACTATAACATATCTTTTTGAGCAGGGGAAATCCATTGAAATAACTCATGAATCAATTGTTAACATTTATTTTTTGACCACATGACACTCATTAAAAACCATTCAATTAATTTTGATTACATTTTTATCGAACATTTTCTAATAAGTAAAACTCAAATTTGAAAATAAATGTCACATGAAATAATTAAAAATAAAAGCAAGAATCAATTGCATTGTTGGCAGTACAATTTAATTGAAATTAATTAGCCAATTGTCCTTGTTGATTAATTTAATAACAAAATACTGCAATATTGTAGTTTGATTTCAAGCAGTTGAAACATTTTTCTTTGGTTTAATTTGACAACAATTTTAAACTTTTTTGCAAGTCACCAATCACAAAATAATAATTAAAATTATTTAGCCAAAAATGAACTTGTCTACAATCTACACAAATTACATAAAGTCAAAGTGAAAATATACATTTGAAAAGAAAATATTGCCTCATCAAGTCCTTGGGGTAATGAAGGAAACACTTATTTTTCCTTTTTACATATTTAAAAAGTGTCATGTAACCATATAACATAACCAATTGCAAAACACGTACTAACATGTGAAAATCTAACATTTTCTCTATGTCTAGAAAGAGTATGTGGTAGCCAATCCTAGACAGGGAATAATGCTAGTACTTTTTATGAACTAATGATAGTTTATGGGTGAAAAAAGGCCAGAGGCAACAGTGGGAATCGAGCACACGACTGCAGGGTCTATGAGCCGAGAGTCTATCACGCTAACCACTCACTCAGCTACCACGGTCCCTCACACTAGCCAGGGAAAAATTTGATTTTTATTTAGTTATTGTTTACAAACTCTGAAAAACGATTCAGTTTCATTTGAGATCAAGGTGTTTTGATAATTTAAAATTGATGAAAAATAGTGCATTTTTGTCACTTGTTTTTTTTTTTTTTTTTTTGTTACAGCAAAGAGAAAAGTGCGGTTCAGACTGCTAGGAAAATGTAAGCACTGCCCATGAATAGTTTGCTTGGTTCAGAAGTGGAAATTTTCATTTGGGAAAACTAATTCTGATTTAGGAGTGCCGTAACTGGATAGCTTTTCCACTTGATGTCTTTTCGTGTTTTTTCTTTCTTGTTCTTGTTTCTAGTTTGTTCTATCTTGTTAATGATTAAATTTACTAGTTTTGTGGTCCGCTTGACCAATTAATATCCGAACCCACAATCTTCGGCTAGATATGCCGTTGCTCTACCACTTGAGTTATCGTGATCTCGATCCACTCGGAAATTAACTTCCCATCTCAACCTCCAACATTTCGAATTTTCCCTCCTTTTTGCCATTTATCAAATGTCGTGTAATCGGATTGGATTCTCCGCGACAAATGAAAAGGCCACGGAGAGCTTTAGTGAAGGTATACTTCATTTTAAACTTATTAAATTCACTAGTTTCGTGGTCTGCTTGACCAATTAATATTTTTCAATTAATTAAGGTTTTTTAGTTGAGATAAAACTGAAAAATGGCAAAACGGGGGGAAAATTCAAAAGGTGGGGTTGAGATGGGAAGTTAGTGTCCGGGTGGATCGAGGTCACGATAGCTCAAGGGGTCGAACAGCGGCGTATCAAGCCGAAGGTCGTGGGTTCGAATCCCGCTCGTGACACTGACATTTTTATCTCAACTAAAAAACCTTAATTAATTGTAAGATATTAATTGGTCATGTGGACCACAAAACTGGTGAATTTAATAAGTTTAAAATGAAGTATACCTTCACTAAAGCTCTCTGTGGCCTTTTCATTTGTCGCCGAGAATCAAATAGATTACACGACATTTGAAAAATGGCAAAAAGGAGGGAAAATTCAAAAGGTGTGGTTATGATGAGAAGTTAGTGTCCAAGTGGATCGAAGTCACGATAGCTCAAGTGGTAGAGCAGCGACGTATCTAGCCGAAGATCGTGGGTTCGAATCCCGCTCGTGCCATTGATTTTTTTATCTCAACTAAAAAACCTTAATTACTTGTTAATAATATTAACTTATTGATAATTGAAGTTGTACTTGACTCGATTGTACTACACTACCCATCGTTATCTGAATTTGCCCCCTTAGATTCTTTATTAACTTATTCCAGGTTCTGCAAAACTCAATGGGATAAACTGCACTGAGGACTGCAGAAAACACACCGAGTTTGATATGTTCTGGGAGGAAGGAATTACAAAATTTAATAAAAGATGGCCACAGGTAGGGAAACAAAATAGTTAATATATTTTGGTTGAATTTGTTATACTCTAAAAAAAAACACTACGGACTTATTTTATAACTTGATACTTGTAAGCTATGGATTTTCCCTTAATTCACCATTTTCGTTGCTTAACTAATCGCAAGTGCAAAGAATTTTACTAAATGTCTTAAACTCTGCATTTATATTATTCCTATATCGTTAGTACAGTGTCTTTGGCAACAGGTAACTATTTTCATATTTTACTTTAAATAAAAATCGGCAATTAATTTGTATTGTGAAACCATTGAGGTGGCAATACTTTTAAAATGAAAAGTATTTTTTCAATTGACAATTCTTTGGTAAATTACAACATATTTATTGGTAGTAAAATTATTAAATTAAACTTAAAAACAAATTAATTAAATAGAGATATCACTTAACTCATGAGATATCATAACTTGTACCTATTGATATGTATGGTTCTCTTACATCTAGTTTTTGTAAGTAATTGCTTTTTAATTTGGTAATCAATTAAAACAAAGTAGTAGAAGTATAATAATAAAGAATTCATTACCATAAAAAAGTGTATTTGGAACAATATATAATTTTGTAGATGCGTGTATTTTTGACTTTTTTTTGTTTTGTTTTAAAGAATTGACTGGGAAATAAATATCCGACATAAATACGATGAACATTGTATTACTTTTTTTTACAACAAGAGTTCACAGATAAAGATGATAAGTAGGAAATGTTTGCCTCACCTGGTAATCAAGGATAGAAAATCCAAGGCCCCTTTCTCCTTTAACAAGCTCGATAATGTGAGGTTCAGAGCTCCACATAGCTAAACCTGTTATCGGTTCGAGGGAACGTGAGCGAAGTTTGGAAAGGCTTGGCTCAGTCGTTGGTGTTGTTGTCGAAGCCAAAGATCCATCTGATTTTGCCTTTACGAGTCTTTCCATGGCCGGAAGTAGGTTTTGAAGACTTCCTCCTAGTAAGCTCTACATATTGCAATATTAAATTACTACGCGCCCTTTTCATAACACTACCTCAATATTAGGTATTTTAATTAAGGTTTTTAGTTGAGATAAAAAAGTCAATGGCACGAGCGGGATTCGAACCCACGATCTTCGGCTAGATACGCCGCTGCTCTACCACTTGAGCTATCGTGACTTCGATCCACTCGGACACCAACTTCCCATCTCAACCCCACCTTTGAATTTGTCCTCGTTCTTGCCATTTTTCAAATGTCCTATAATCTATTTGAATCTCGGCGACAAATGAAATGGCCACGGAGAGCTTTAGTGAAGTATATTTAATTTTAAATCATTAAATTCACTAATTTTATGGTGTGCTTGACCAATTAATATATTACAATTAATTAAAGTTTTTAGTTGAGATAAAAACCTTAATTAATTGTAATATATTAATTGGTCAAGCGGATCACGAATTTCGTGAATTTAATAATTTAAAATGAAGTATAACTTCACTAAAGCCCTCCGTGGCCATTTCATTTGTCGTCGAGAATCCAATCCGATTACACGACATTTGAAAAATGGCAAAAAGGAGGGAAAATTTAAAAGGTGGGGTTGAGATGGGAAGTTAGTGCCTGAGTGGATCGAGGTCACGATAGCTCAAGTGGTAGAGCAGCGGTGTATCTAGCCGAAGATCGTGGGTTCAAATCCCGCTCGTGCCATTGAGTTTTTTATCTCAACTAAAAACCTTAATTAATTGTAATATATTAATTGGTCAAGCGGACCACGAAATTAGTGAATTAGGTATTTTATTAAAAAAAAACACTATGATAATCTTAATGACTATAAATATAACATACTCTTGCAGCAAAAGCAGCTCTATCTTGGGATGTATCAATTAAACGTAGAGCTGCACCTTCTCCAGTTCGTCTTGCACAAACCATACGGACTGCTAACGGTAATTCTTTCAAAATTGTAACCACTTCTATATGATTCATTCCAAGAAGTCGATGACCGTTCACCTATTAAATAAAATTTTATATTAAGAGTTATTAAGAGCGGAAAAAGCACTGCTTCATCAGCACTTCTGAGTTTTGAGCTAATGCCAGATAAAATAAAAAAATACAAAGAAAACATTAAATAAGAAAAGAACGGCATACGTACTTCCAAAAGTTCATCACCAGATTGTAATTTTCCATTTTGACCAACTGGTCCTTCTCCTAAAATTGATCTAATGTAGTGATGCGGTCGTACTTCCTGGCCATCCTCGACATCGACAGTTCCTTCTAGGCTGATCCCCAGCCCTCCTCCTTCCCCGAACTTTTTTAATTGGCCCACCTGCAAAACATGCAAGACGTTTACATACCGTGGTCCTATAATTTAACGAAATGAGTGCAAAGACTGCCATAATGGCGGTGGGTCAAAAGAGTAAATAGTACATACGACAATCTCAACATCTGGTCCCATTATTTTAGACCACTTGGTTTTTATAGCTTCTTCTACAGAAGTTTTCAGCGGCCCTTCATAGTCGGTGTCAATTAAAAGCTCAACATCATCTAATTCTACATCTGGATTACTAGCCTCATTGATGTACATTGAATCAACTGTCGTTACCGATTCTCCTTCAACCTCAATTTCTGTCGTGTCTTCACCATCCTGTGAAATAAAATTTGCTCAAGGCCCCAAATTAAAGTTTAAACATTCTATTAATTTTCCTCTTTTTAACAGCATTTACCTATTAAAGAAATCATCAACGTATTAAGCAGTAGAAAAAAATTAAAACAGTAAGAAAGATGGAAAACTTTTTAAAAGTCTACAACTGACATACTCTATTTAGTTATAAAAAAACATACCCTACATTTAAAAATATTTCATTATAATAAACAGCTCTAAAACTTGTAATTTCAAATAAATTGTAATTACATATAAAATCTCTTCTGACATTCTACATCATACCATAAAACATTCCATGCTGAAATAGAAAAGTATGCAACCTCTTTTTCTTTTTTCTTTCTTTATTTTTGTTTGTTTCTTTTTGAAAGTTTTCTGTTTTCTACTTACAGCACTCACAGGAAATCTTGGGAGAGAGACGGCAGAAGGGGAAGATGGTGTAGGTGGTTTCAATTCGCTGTTAGCAATCGCCTGCTGAAGTTGTTCAAATTTAGGTCCACGGAGATATCTCTCTAAAGATAAGCGGACTGTGCCTCCAGTTGATCTCAAAACTTCAACGGCATCATGATTAGTGTAACCTTGTAGAGATTGCCCATCGACCTATCCACAATAAATTGACAAGGCGATAATTTTAGTGATTAAAAACCTTGCACAAATGAAAGTACCTCCACAATCCTATCGTTGACTTGGATTTTCTTGCACACATCTGCAGCACTTCCACTACTAATGCTTTTAACGAATATCCCAGATAGCTCCTCTGAAATTAATATTACAAATATTAAGATTTAGAAGGAAATATAATTTTTTAATAGAAATAAAACAGTACCTTTTTCGCAGACATAACCAGCAATGGTGATGCCTAAACCATGGATATCTTTCTTTAGTTCAACTGTAAACCTTTCCATTTCAGGGAGTTGGGTGTCTAATGGTAACATATCCATCGTGAGGAATGGCAAAGGTAATGCCGGTGTCAAGGGTACAACATCAACTACGAGCCTTGGATCCCTTTCCTAAAAACACAAAAATCTCATATTCCCATTTTTGCAAATCAATATTATGTTATTGAAAAATAAACAGACCATAAGTTCTAAATCGGCATCTTGATGAAACATAAAAGGATTTTCATATGAATCATTATTTGGCGTTGCAAGGTTGTATGTTACTTGGGGATAGCCGTTTTGAATAAGATGTCTGTCTAATTCTTCAGGGTCGGCCAAAATTTTTGTGGGTACTATCGGAGCGTGTGAACCAAGTGCTTGATAATCAGGCGATGTAGGTTCCACAGGGCGAGCGACGACCAAACGCACATGACTTCCTGATTGACGGAGAACTGCTGCAACTTGTTCTGAACCCATTCCTCTCAGGTTAACATCTCCAATTTGAAGAATGTGATCTCCACTTTGTAATCGACCATCCTATGGGATAAACAGAATGTTATTATATGAATTTCGCAAATGATATAAGGAAGCTTACTCGATCGGCTACTCCCCCTGGAAGGATAGTCTTAACTACGACACCTGTACTTCGGCCACCAATTATTCCAAAACCCAAGCCAGAACCATCGTTTATTAAATCAATAACTTCTACTTGGGCCCACTCAGTGTTCAACTATAAAAAGTTCAAAATTACTGTTTGACCGACTTTTTCAGCATTTCAAGAACATACCACCATGTCTGAGCCTGCTTTGGATGTATCGCTAACTGCAGAAGGAGATGGTGAAGGTGTCGGTGAGGTTGGTGGTGGATCCTCACTTCGTGCTACCACGAGTTCAACAAGCCCTCTTGCCTTCTGCAAGATAAAGATCGCCTGCTGGTGCGAGATGTTTGAGTCCAGTGGCTGGCCATCGATTGCCAAAATTTGGTCACCTTCATGGAGCCTCCCGTCTCTATAACAAGAAACAATTATAAGTAAATTCAATAGAAATTGAATGATTTACTATTGAAAACAAATAAAACTATTAAATAACAATAAAAGTTTAACATTTTGTATGAACACTATTGTTTTTTTAAGCAAGCAATAGTGTGAAGGCAAGCATAAAATTATCAGACACAAAGCGAATTTTGACTTAAGTGTCATATTTCCTCTTGAGGTCTATGAGGTGATGAACGTGTAATTTGGTCATCGTCAATTAGCAATGATGTGAAATAAAAGAATTTATACAATGCTAGAAAATTTTAGATAATTTTTTTAAATTCTAATTTTCTAGTATTATATAATTTTTTTCACATTCTACATGTATTTGTAAAATTTAAACAATGTTTATAAATCCCAGGCCCTTAAGATGATCTCAATAAAGATTGAAATGTTGGCACGATAAAGAAAATGCCTCCTCCTCCTCCCTAATCCAAACCCTAACCATAACTGACCTAACTTAACCTGTCGCTCTAACCCTAACTCTGCCCTACATAAACAAGCATAACCCGTCCCTAACACGAATCCAAACCCTAACCATAACTGACCTAACTTAACCCGTCGCTCTAACCCTAACTCTGCCCTACATAAACAAGCATAACCCGCCCTAACACTAATCCAAACCCTAACCATAACTGACCTAACTTAACCTGTCGCTCTAACCCTAACTCTGCCCTACATAAACAAGCATAACCCGTCCATAACACTAATCCAAACCCTAACCATAACTGACCTAACTTAACCCGTCGCTCTAACTCTAACTCTGCCCTACATAAACAAGCATAACCCGTCCCTAACACTAATCCAAACCCTAACCATAACTGACCTAACTTAACCCATCGCTCTAACCCTAACTCTGCCCTACATAAACAAGCATAACCCGTCCATAACACTAATCCAAACCCTAACCATAACTGACCTAACTTAACCCATCGCTCTAACCCTAACTCTGCCCTACATAAACATGCATAACCCGTCCCTAACACTAATCCGAACCTTAACCATACAGTCTGACCTAACCTAACCTGTCACTCTAGCCTAATCCCGATTATAATACCTACTCCAACCTTAACTCTACCTAACCTACTCTACCTCGTTTGTAATCTTAATTCCTAACCCTAACCTAATCCGTCTTTCATAAAAAACTAAAGCTAACTCCACAAAAGACTGCTTCCGGCTTTATAAAAGAGACTTCACAGAAATCGGAGAATCAATTACTGAATATGCCGCAATTTTTTCTCTGTTCTCAACGCACTGAGAAGGGGTAAGGACTTCCACCTCTGAAAGCAGTTAGGCTGTCGACATCGTGCCTGATATCATCATCTCTGTGATGGTGCCTGGTCTACAACAGTACGCTTCCCTCTGTTACTACCTTCTATTGGAACACGCACACATCCCGGCTTTTCCGCACCATATGAACCCCTTAAGGTCCCTAACAACCCAGCAGCCCTAAGAGCAAGCGACTCATCAGACACATCAGCAGCCTTTCGTTTTTTACAGAGGCATACTGCCCCGGGCTTTTAACACTAGAGTAAAAGTATCATCTCGATAGACGCCAAGGACATGACAGTAAACATATCGCCCAACATACTCCACCAAAATCCACGGTAACGGTCACATTTATATATTATGCAGGGTGAGCGACCATGACCCGAGGGGTTAAATGCCTGGGTAGACTCGTACCCCAAGACGGCCACATTTCAGGTTCATCAACATGCAAACTAGTTGGAGAAATCTCATAAAATCCAAGGACTTTTCATAAGTCTAACTTTAACATAATAAATAGATAATCTGATGTTTGCACTTGCAGCATATTGTACATTACATTCGACGACTTCGGACCTTCGGAAAAGGCGGACGGCCTAGCCATAGAAGGTTCTAATACTGCGTTTGTCGGGCCACAACCGGTATTACCTCACTCTATGAGCACAGCGAAAGAGATTATCAATAACTGGGGCATGAAACAATTCCTTAAGGAATGGAATCTATCCCCCGGACACAGGCAATCGAAAGAGTTTGTTAAGGCGATCAAACCAGCAGAATCGAAATGGCTATTCTCTATCTCAAGGAAGGGAATTAGGAGGCTGATAGGTACCTCGGTCTTATCCGTCCAGCTAGGTTGGGCTCCAGGGGCTATCAACAGCTAGGTCATTTCAGCCACCAGAGCAATCTCTTAAATCCCCTCGCACTTACTTTTAAATGCATTCGAATTTATTTACATATCACATATGAGTAACCTAATCGAGGATAAACTGGGTACTCATTATTACAAAGACCTTGTGAATATAATTATAGTGTGGATGATGGTCATCGTAACATAGACTGCTATACAGATGGTTCTCTAATCAAAGGTAAAGGGAGCGGTGCAGAAATCTATATACCTAAATTAGGTTATCAGCATCTCCTCCCCTCTTGGCAATAACACATCCGTTTTCAGGCGGAAATCTGGGCCATTAATGTGTGTTGTAGAACACTTATGGAAAATAAATCAAGGGAAAAGATATTAGAATTTTTCTGACAATCAGGCTAGTCTTAGGTCATTACAAAAAGATTTGTCAACATCTAGACTGGTGGAGGAAACTGTAGATCTTATCAATAGGATCTCTTCCAGGTTTGAGAACAAAGTAACCCTTATTTGGATATCAGCATATAAAGGACACCATGGCAATGAAGAGGCGGGTAGCTTGACCAAAGAAGGCTCTAATACTGCGTTTGTCGGGCCACAACCGGTATAACCTCACTTTACGAGCACAGCGAAAGAGAGTATTAAAAACTGGGGTATGAAACAATTCCTTAAGGAATGGAATCTATCCCCCGGACACAGGCAATCGAAAGAGTTTAAGGAGATCAAACCAGCAGAATCGAAATGGCTATTCTCTAACTCAAGGAAGGGAATTAGGAGGCTGATAGGTACCTCGGTCTTATCCGTCCAGCTAGGTTGGGCTCCAGGGACTATCAACAGCTAGGTCATTTCAGCCAGTATCCTGACTGGCCACTGCCCACTGAGAAGACAGTAATGGGTATCCTACCAGATCCCTTTTGCCGCTTCTGCGAAATAAAAGAAGAAACCGCAAAGCACTACCTCGCAGAATGTGATAGGTATGCTAGGTCTAGATTTGAAATCTTGAAGGAGAGGACATCACTAAATCACTCCCCTAGATTAAATGGTCCAAAATCTTGGGGTTTGTGAATAGGTCCAAGAGATTTACGCAGGACACATGCGCCGACCAAGTCCCGGACCTTTTAGGGACGGGGTACGAGTCTACCCAGGCATTTAACCCCACGGGTCTTGGTCGCCCACCCTGCATATATATATATATATAGANTATCTGATGTTTTCACAATAAAAAATTATGTTTAATCCATTACAGAATTTGTGAAAATTAGCTTATTTTTGAAACAGCAGATGCACAGGAAGATCTAATGTTAAAAATTAAAGGGGTTTGGCAAAGAAAACCTTATTTAATTCCGTCCTACAACAGTAAAAGAGATAGCTGTTTCATATTAGTACTAACAGGCAGTGAGTGAGCTTTTCGTCGGGTAAAGAAAACAAAAACTATATATAAAAAAATGTCCCGCACACAATGTCTAGCCGGTATTTTTCTTATCCACGGGAAACACTCTCCGCTAGTACGGGCCCTTAAACAGGAAAGATAGGGAACAGTGAAAATAAATCAAGCGTTTAATGGAGTGTCTTTGGAGCCGGGTTCAGTACATTTCCCATTAAACGGGAATAACGTTAGGAAATAGAATGAAAAGAGGGTGGGGCCTGGAAGTACCTGGGCCTGGAATGGGGCCGGCCCGAGTGAAAATGCACTGTCGTCCGACCGATTAGAAAAACCGACCCCTTATCGCCGAGGACCTAACATCGGCTCTTCATGTCTCGGAAAATAGACACCACCATCAATCATCCAATGCTTCCTCGGGGTAGTAAATTATCATCGTTTACCTTCCAACGGGAGGAGAAATCCAGAAGGTCTATTTGCAACGAGGTGAATCACAATATGGTTTTTTTTACGATAAATCGTTCAGTTTTCTTCCGAAACGTACTTCATCCAATCTACAAAAATCATTTTGAAATAGTAATAAAGCACACAGTCTCGACAGAAAACGTCGCGAAAGGTTGCCCTCAGGGATCAGTCCTAGGTCCACTTTTATTGATGTCTTCAGTTGGTTTTCGTAGATGACCGTATACAGGGTGAATTGCTACTCGTGCTACAAACTTCTCCAGTAGATTCTTCACCCTAAAATGAACAAAAAAGTTCATATTGTCCATGGTCCGATTCTCAACCATTTCAGAGTAATTTCGCTTTTTATCGATTTTGAAAGATATCACGTCCTGGCGTCGGAAAATCGTGATATCTTTTAATCTAAACATTTCTCTTAAAATCTATAAGCACCGTTGAAATCCCCGTTAATTTTTAGAGAGAATCAAAATCATAATTCCATTGAAATTTTTTAATTTAATTTAATGCCCATTTAGTATGTAATGCTTAAGAAGTTTACAAACAGCTAGAAGGTCAAGGAAGAAAGACCCAAACGTTTTGCCACCTTCATCTTCTTATTGAAAAATTAACGGGGATTTCAACGGTGCTTATAGATTTTAAGAGAAATGTTTAGATTAAAAGATATCACGATTTTCCGACGCCAGGACGTGATATCTTTCAAAATCGATAAAAAGCGAAATTACTCTGAAATGGTTGAGAATCGGACCATGGTCAATATGAACTTTTTTGTTCATTTTAGGGTCAAGAATCTACTGGTGAAGTTTGTAGCACGAGTAGCAAGTCACTCTCAAACATTAGCAATCCTTGAACCACCATTTTTTCTCTTTTTGTCAT